AAAATAGCAACTCTGAGACTGACTTTAACAAACATTTCTTATTTTATTTATCAACTGAAACCTGCCAATTACCTGTCTAACATCACATTTTCCAGAATACTGTCCTCACATACGTATGCGTGTGTTTATGACACACGTGCAAATACACCATGGTCATAGTGGCACCAGTATAGTCGGAAGAAGTACATACCCTTGTAAGGCTAATGGCTGGCTACAACCAGTCCAGCATCCTTTAAAAACTTCAACCAAAGAAAATATCAACAAAGCTTCTTCAAATCCTGCTCTTTATTATCCATAGCCTGTAGTCTCCAGCTGACCAACACAGTAAAGCGCCATTATTTCGTAGTACCATCATCCATGAAGCGAACCAATCAAAATGAAAAAAAAGCCACTTCTACATCAATCCATCAGTTATCTTGGTCTTTTACTTACTGTTACTGAGAATAAATGTATTTTGTCATCTCCTATACATTCTGTGATGCTTCCTTAAGCCTACCTGTTAAAGCGAGTGCCTCTGAAAGAGTGATCAAAACAATTTTTTTCATTACAAGAAACTGACCAGTTAGCTACGGTGGCTACACTCGTTAGCCAACCTGTGAATGGTATAATAACTTAGCTGCTCCACCTGATTTCATCGCTGACTTTTCTCTACTTATTGTCCACTTTTATTGTCGCTTCCATCTGGTTGTGTTCACTGTTTTGGGTTCATTGGTTCAGTTTTAATCAGGGATTCTCTACTGTATTTGTTATGTAATTCAATATAAATGAATCCATACAATATGTAATGGTTTAGTCAATTCAATTCAATTCAATTCAATTTTATTTGTATAGCGCAATTTTCCATAACAGAATTTTATTCTCAGGGACACTTTTTCAAATTAAGAGGCAAGGTCAGACATGAAATCTTATAACCATTTTCAGTCCAGGTTACTCCAAATCATATCCTTTGACAAAACAAGACATGTAGGAACATCACCAACTATTGAGCCTTAGAAATTTAGTCCAAACTGTTATCTTTTTAGGCATCTTCAATTTGGGTTCTTTTTCAAAATGACCCTAACCTGTATAATTTCAGTAGCAGTCCAACCCCTAATCACTTACAAAACTTAACTGCAGGAAGCTTGTGTAAAAGCAGAGATTTGAATGAATTTTGAGCAGATTGATTCCTGTGAATATTGATCAGAGAAGAGTTTTTGATATATTTTAGGAACCTTTTATACAATTACAGGTCTGGACCTTTTCTTCTCCCTGACGCTTGGCCATTGTTAGCTCTAAAGCAGGACAAGGCTGTTTATCAGAGTGAAGAATAATAATAAAATGTAGTATTTGGGTTAACTAAACGTAACTAAACTCTAAAAATAACATCTTCATTTAGTTGGTTTTTTTTTGCAGAAATGACCAAAATGCTGAGATATGTGCGTACTGTGTTTCTTTTAAAAGTTTTCTTACACTAACCTAGAGTTTGGGAACCACTGGACTTAGTAGAACCTGTGCTAACTTTACACTACATTCTGTTCATGTGCAGGTTGAAGGGTATTTCCTAAAATGTTGAACTACTGCTTTAATTAAAAAAAAGCACAATATCACCAAATCAATACCCAGAACAGGACAAAATCCTCACTGATATCTAAAGAGACTCTACCTTGACCAGCCCTTTACAGAGGCAACACCTGGACGTCTCCTCCTCTTCCTCCTCCTCCTCTCCTGCAGACTGCAGTGGCAGCTTCTTCTTGGCTCTCACGCTCCCAAAAGCAATGGGGATGTGCATTGGAGGCTGCAGACTGGGCTCAAAGTCCATCCTGTACTCCTGCTTAAGCCAGCGGGCTGTCAGGGGCAGCCTGTTCCACGGCGCCACCCGCAGCATGTTGGAGACAACGCGCCAGTGGAACTGCAGGCTCGACTCTTTCCTGCAGCGCCGAGAGACGTGGGAGAGACGCCTGGAGGAGTGAGGGTGCTGCCACGCCCACTCAAACTGACAAAAATAATAATGATAGTTAAAATTATTCTTAGTTTAAAGCTGTAACTTTTATAATAAAAGCTTTTTGTAAAAGAGGGGTTGAAACAGGACATAAGATTAATAAATCTGTAGTTTGAGTGGCTTGATAAAGTTTCCACAAATGTTAGAAAGGTTTGGTGTTGGAGAAATACATTGAAATACTAAAATTCATATTCTCTGAAACTTTCACTATATCCTGACAGTAGTACATGAGACAGATAATGTTCGTCAGGTTCCTCTGACTCCTCCTAGTGCTCTAATGGCCTGAAAGAAAACAACCAATCAGAGCCGAGAAAGATAGGCGACTGTTCAGCCTCATTCCCAGGGCTGTCAAATACTGATGCTGGGAATGAGACGCAAGCCTCAATCCCAAAGTGTCTTTATGATTACGATACTTTGTGATTTTTTCACAGATTATCTGTCTCATGTTCTACTGTCAGGATATAGTGAAAGTTTCAGAGAATATGACAAAAACTTATTTTTATACGTTACCTACTGCAGCTTTAAAGCATACAGGGAAAATCTGGTACTTAGGCCTTTTTAATAGTACCTGGAACTGTAGAAAAATATAAATGAATATAACAAAAGTAAATGTATACTTAAGTAGTTTCTTCCGGTATCTGTACTTACTTTTATTCCCTACATTTTTAAACAAATATCTGTACTTTCTAATAAATAAAGTATATCTTATTCCTTACATTTTCGAAACAGGCTCATTACTTTAGTTCTAATGCATCTGAGAGGACTGCACGCCCAAATCAAGACTGGTTTATCACGCATGACAAAAAAAAAGACAGAAGAGAGAGGGAGAGTCGACCCTGTTTAAAGTTTCAGTGAGCTTTGCACAGAAACAATGAGTACATTTCAGAGCGTGTACTTTTCAATCAAAACTTCTATTTTTACTGTTAAAGTTAAGAATGTGTGTACTGCCTCTTCTGGAAAAATGAAACAAATTGAATGTTTAAAGGGACATAATCTGAAACTTCTATCTTACTAAAGAAAACACACAGAACTACTAAACTGAATTAAACATTTGCCAGTACGTTTTATGTTTTAAAATTGGAGTTTTAAGATGACACACCTTTCTATAGCGATCTGACATTATCTAAAGTCTGGAGAGCATATTAAGGCACTGACCCACGAATCCATAAATAGGGTTTATTTGTTTATTATTTTATTCTGGATGTAAAACTCATCAGTGTCTGCTTTACATAGAAGGGATGAGGTTTTTTTGAGTTTAGATTTTTTCTTTGGCACATAACTAAACTCAGAATCTAACCTTGGACCTAAAGTCCCTTTGTCCATTCCTGTCTGTGTTTCCACTACATCTGCAGATCAGGCAAACTGAACTTAGAAAATGGCAGCGTTTGAGAAGCAATTTTTACACATGAAAAAACAAAAACACAGAGTCATTGTGTTGCTGTTCTGGATGTGATGGATGGATACAAAGGAGACTCCAGAATGTCTGTTTGCATGCTCGACAGTCTGCCGAGTATTTTAGTTGTGTTTTTTTAATGAAACAATCAGCTTCTCACATTCACTTGGCCAGTAATTCTCTCTTTATTTATCTCTCTTTGCACAAAAGCCAACAACACAACTTTGCTTTTAAATAAATATTACAATTATTGTCTAATATTGATTCTAGAAGCCCCTGTGGCATTTAGTCGACCTGTGTGTATGATGCTGTATGAGTTGTAGCAGCTGCAAGGTCTGTGTTTGACCAGTGAGCAACATTCAGCCCTTTAAACTCTGCCCTGATAGTTCTGGGGCCATTGGAAAATACTACACAGAGACTTTCTGAGGGTTAGGAACTATCTCCGAGGTGAACTCGAAACACAGGTAACGTTCCTGAGCTCCAAAAATAGGAAACGGGTTTTAAAGGTTCAGTGTGTAACATTTAGAAGGATCTATTGTCAGTAATGGAATAGAACATTCATAGGTGTGTTTTCATTAGTTTATAATCATCTGAAAATAAGAATTTATTGTGTTTTTGCTACCTTAGAAAGAGCTGTTTTTATCTACAGAGGGAGTGGGTCACCTTCCATTGAGGCAGCCATGTTTCTAGAGTAGCCCAGAAGGGACAAACCAAAGACTGGCACTAGATTGGGGTGTTTTCCTGAGCGTTTCGCAGTCACTGTAGTTTCTCCTTTGTGCCTGGAAGGGGAGGGTGAAGCAAGGGAGTTGCGATCTGCAATTACACCAAATCCTACACACAACTTCAGGTAAATACTGATGTTTTGGATGGAATACAGTCATATTCCATAACTTCAGTACATAGGCAGAGGCATTGTGTTTCACAGTATACCATGGTATGAGAATTGGTTATCACACTGTGTTCATTTGCTTATCTACAGTATTGAATTCAACCATGTAAGTGTTATTAAAAACATCATATTTTGTGAAATTATAATAGCGTTGTACTATCAAATAAAAACCTTGTGTTTTCATTCTTTTAAGGGTCATTGTAACTGATTATAATAATAATGTTGTGATACTCTGATATTTTTTCAGATGGTTGTAAAGCTACTACATAATATTGTCCATTCGCTCCAAAAACCATACCTACCCTCAGGGCAGCAATGTCAGAGGGAAATCCATGTATGATGAGAACCATCTCCCTGAACAAAACAAAGTAATATATGCAGAATATCAGTAATTATGTGATCACACAGTGTCCATCATGATTTATAGTGCAGTAAAGGGTTAAGTCGTACCATGGTCCTCTTCCACTGGTCCTCTTGGCCCCCCCTCGGTGCCGTCCTGCGTTGTGCTGTCCGATCCTGCGCTCAGGGTTCACAGTGAAGCCGATGTAAATACGGCCTTTGAATTTAGGATTGGTGCAGTACAGCATGTACACACCAAAGAAGCTTTCTACCTCCACAACCATTGTGGAAGAATACAACTGTTATGACGCTTCTTAATTAAACTTTAACATCAGATAGAGCATCCATAGAGTTAGCTAATGAACTATAAGCATAACGTTAGCTTGCTTAGCTGACTAATGTAACTTACAACGTAGCAAAAAGACGAAAGGTAAAATTACTGGAAAATATAAGCCAATTAAATATCCTTAAGACTGCCATTGTCACGGCAATATTACTTGTAATATTTCATCCAAGACAGACGCTTCGTACAGTTCCACACACAGTTAGCGCTAGCACACTCTAACAGCTGTATGTTTGTGTTTGCGTGTACCGGTGTCCGTTTCAGTAGCCCACAGAACTGCCTGATAAAATGTGTTTCAAAAGGACTCAAAGCCTAAGTTACAGATAAGAAGTAACGAATACCGCCATATCTTAAAAAGACTGAACTCAAATCGCATATTTTCGTTTATATGAATCACTTTCAACATTTGGTTCGGCTTTCTGTAAGGACCCCTAATATTATGATTCGCTACTTTAAAAAAGTATGTCCCACCCATAAAGTGTACATACCGCACTTGATTGGCCGTGGTTGTCATTGCCGCAATGCAATTGGACATTTCTTCGGTTAGCTATGAGGCGGTGACGACAACCCCTTCACGGCGGGCTACAGAAATTAGCGAAAACACCATAAAATAAACAACCTTTGGTAATGATAAACAAATGAATTAAAACTTCACAACTGTGCTGCAGCAGTGTTTTTAGGATATATGAAATTTTTAAACTTAAAGAATACTGCATTACTTCCGGGGTCACTGAGCATGCCATCTCATTGAAGAGACTCAATTGGAAATCATTTAAAATTAGCCAGTGTCTCAGTACAACAACTGATTTACTAACGGCTGTGTTTTGTTCACACAGATATGGCTATAACAGCTGATCACATCCGGGATAAACTTATTAAAGAGCTGCCGGCAGTGCACGTGGTAGGTATCTGGTTGTTGTCATGTTCTCTTAGCTCAAAGCTAGAGGAAGAGATAGGTTCAAGTCCTATTCAGAGTGGGGAAGTGCGGTTTCATTGAGTGTTGGCTATGCGCGCCTGTTACCATGATATTATGGCCAACAAATAAGGCACCACTAAGTTGAAAGATTTTTGAGTGGAGTTTGGTTCAGCTACACCTAACGCTGCTAAGCGGCCCCCGAGCTAACTCTGGTCTTGCTGGTTTAGAGTCACTAGACTAGAACATGACTATAAGTGAATCCAATGAGAGAATGTGTAATAATGACTATTAACACTCTTCACTGTCACTCCTCTCTGCCAATCTACAGTATAGACAATTATGGAATAGCTAAATACTATCAGACAGGGATCACTGAGACTACATCAAATACAACCTGAAAAGGTCCAGAACTGGATTCACAGGACTCACTCAGACTGGAACCAGTCAGTTAAAGTATACAAAATGAGCCAGATAGCAAGATAGAGCACATCATAATACATACAGTCATTCAGTATCAGCAGCATGAGAATGAGCTAACTGTCGGCTGTCTTCTCCAGGATGTGGAGGATACATCACCCAACAGATGTGCTGCCAGCTTCAAAGTCCTGGTGGTGTCGTCCCAGTTTGAGGGCAAACCGCTGTTACAGAGACACAGGTATTACACACTGTAGTAACTATCAGATAATATATGTTTGCAGTGTGGTTTGTGTTCAGGTCAGTTTAGGTCAAAAGACAAGTAGGTCCATGCCATACAGACACAGGGCTCCCAGGCATTCTGGAAAACCTGAATATTTAGAGATTTGCTTTTCCGGTCAACACTTGGAAGTTTATTAAAACGACCAAATATTAGATATATAGATCTGTGTTGTCCTGGGAATATTTAATTGTATTTTAGCCCATCGCTCACATTGCCTATGTAAACATACAGTTGGTTTGGGGAAAACTGTAGTATACTGTAGTCAAGTCTCCAGAGACGCTGCAGAACAGTCGTCTGTGGCGATAATTATGGAAAGCAAGCTAACTCGTAAATTCTGAGCACCTATCTGTGACGAACTTCATCACAAACCCTGCTTCATTATAAAAGGAGGAATAAAACTAGGAAAAATTTGTCAATATTAGGCCTACCAGTAAATTATATGACAGTTTGTGAGTAAGTGCTGGAAAGGTCCTGGAAAATAATTTCTTAAAAAGAGTGGGAACCCTAAGAAGATAAAAGTTAGTAGGTTATGATCAAACACATGACATTTTATTATATAGTGTATATATATAGTATTATATAGTTTATTATGATATTGATTGATTGATTGATGATATTTTATGACAGCAGTTCTACATGATATCACAATATCTGTAGATCCATAAACGACTCCATTATAGCAGGATATGAAAATGGATGATACAATGGATCGATACATAAAGAAACATATCATACACACATTATTGTTCCAATCAGACTATTTAGAAATATGTCTGAATACATGTCTGGAGGGGATCTTTAACATATTTGTAAATTGAATAAGAGAATTGTCTCAATTCTGATTGGCACATGGGTCAGGTGAGCGTTGGTGACTTTTGCGAAAAAGCCAAAGTTGGTCATTCTTACTAGCCTGTAAGTAAGTGTTGTGTTTCAACAGGATGGTGAATACGTGCCTGGCCGAGGAGCTGAAAGAGATCCACGCTTTTGAACAGAAGACCCTCACACCAGAACAATGGGAGAAACAAAAATCACAATGACACACACACCCACACACAAACACATACACACACATTTCCACTATAAAACAGACCATACACTTCTATGATATGTAGAAAGAGTACAAGTGCTCTCCTTCATTTTCTGTAAATCATCGTATTGATATAAATGCAGTGGATCGCTCCTGAGGCAATAAAACACTTGGATGCTGTATTTTGTTGTTGTTGGTCATTACTTGTATGTCTTTTAATTTGAGAGCACAGAAATTCACAGAATTTAATCCCTTCTCAAAGTTATATACATTTAGGTTGTAGAAAGAAATTTAGATATAGTTACCTTTGTGCTGCTTTAAAAAAATAACTAAATAAATATTACATATTAGATACATATTATATAACTGAGCAGAATGATAAAGAGGTTTTGATAAGGATACCAAATACTCTCAGTGGACTGGAAGCCAGCAGGCAAGATTCGATGGGCCATTATTTTATTGTAATACAAATAATAGGTAGATTATCTGAACCTGCAGTAGCAGTGCTGGTTCTTTCCGTGATACTTTTGTATTCTACCATACTAAGACTTTGAACTCAGGTTTTGATGAACCCATATGCTTTGTTTTTTTATACTGAAGAAATTATATTTAATTGAAAATGTATTCATACATGAAGTTCAAAGTTCATTCTTGACTCTGGAAACAGCAGTTGAGAGAGCTCTCTCTTCACAAGGTACATTTAATACTAAATGTACACTGGAGAGGCAACATGGTCTCTTAAAGCTGCAGTAGGTAACTTTTGTAACAAAAACTTTTTCATCATAGGTTGTTTTCGTTCAGGTCCGGTGGATTCTTGCAAACGCCACTAGGAGCACTAGGAGGGGCCAGAGGAACCTGAAGTTTAATCAAATATGACAAAAAGTACATTTTATTAAAGTTACCCTGCAGTTTTAAAGTTCTACAAAATATGGAAACTTAAACATCTGCAAATCCATGATAACTGGGCAAAATCAATCTGTTAGTGAAGGTGCAACAATACCTCTATTCAAGTACATTTTATCTATAGCCTAGAATCACAAAGCACTATTTGCCTCAAGGGGCACCCTCTTTCCATAAAACTTCTAGGACAGCTACTAAATGGACCATGAGGGTAGTTTTTTGGTTTATATTTTTTTTATAAATGACATAAAAACGTATACATTATATCTACATTATATCAAGATTAATGTATTATATCTATGTGTACACATGTATATCTGTTCAGTCATATTATATATACACATTATTATTATTATTATTATTATTATATACTGTTATTAACAATAACACTACCATCATGTCATCAGTACTATTACCACCATCTTGCAACTACAACTCTTGCACCTTATACCCTACCAATCAATCATCATACTATTCTTCCTCTTCTTTACTAACAACTTCTTTGCAACCTTATCTACCTATTTATACTCTATTCAGATTATTCTATATAGTGTTTTAAATGTACCTGGTTTATGACGACCCAATTCCCTTTGGGGTTTAATAACATCTATCTTCTTTCACGTATCTCTATCTATCTCTATCTATCATCTTCTATCTATCTATCTATCTATCTATCATATCTATGCTATTTATCTATCTATTTATCTATCATGAGATCCATTTAACAGCCTCTAACAGCAGACGAACAGCTCTGTAATCAGGCAAACAACGTGAAGAATGGGCACTGAATACAAATTAGATGAATACATTTATAATACAAACCATCAGTGTAGAGCACAGCTCTGGTGCACATGTATGCATACTGTGTGTGTGCTGAAGGGTAGTGAAGCCTCACACAAAGCACTGAGGTCTCCATGAGGTGTCACTAAGAGCCGGCGGACCCCCTGCCTGTGTGGTTCTCAGGGTGACACATTACAGCTGTGTGCTTTGATCAGTCAATCTGTGGCTTTTTTTAGGGTTCTGCCCATTTCACAAACACACCTCAGCCACCTGAGGCTGTACGTCTACACACACTATAAACACTGCTACACAATCTTTTAAAACGCTGAAAGGTTAAAAAACTACCTGAGCAACATCTGAGCAGTGGAAACATCAAAATCCAATGTACAACAGATATATATAAATATATATGCCAGTACATTATTTAACTCTATCATATTTATTTTATTTAAATAGTCAGCTTCTTCCCTCCTGCAGTCTCAGGCTGTGAGACTGCTTAATTCATTGTTTCAGTCATTTTCTCTTAATCAAATTGACTGTATCATAATTGTTCAAGGTAGCAATGAAAGAACAATCCTGATCTTCATTATACAACCCTGCATTATAAAATGATAAATTACCCTGAATCCTTAACTAACACATACAGTACTGTAACACACGCTCGCCCTGCACTCTGTCAGCTGTCTGTTGAGTGCTAATCTGGGACATTGATGGAGCAGGTCCCTGTAAAGATGTGGGCACAACAGTTTGTGATTTACCGTTGTTTGGCCGTTTCATCAGACTGGAAATTTGCCAGGAGCAGCCTTAAATCTATGCGGGCTCCTATCCGCTTCGCTACCTCTCAGCTTGGGATTACAGCTTCTACAGTGGTTGGCTGGTCCTGCTGAGCAAGCTGGGTGGATCGTCTTAAATCCACTGTTCTTTAATCTAAACCCAAGGCTTTATTTGTAATGGCTATTTCTGTCATAGGTAATACGTGTTTCAGCCGAAAGCCAAAAAAGATTAAAACAAAACAGAGGGGTTTGAAGGAGCTAGCCTCCGGGTAACAGCATATGAGCTTGCAGTCAATGCCATAGTCAGAATCTGATACAGTCAATTTGAACAATTTTGGCTTTAAAACTCAAATCCAGTCAGACATCATTCAATGATGTTTCAGCAATAAAGCTAGAAAAAAAAAAATAATAATAATAATAGAACATTTTAAAGAGCAGCTGTTGCCATGGCATGTCCTTTACAACTGCACATAATTATATAAACATGTTGCATGTTTTTTAAATGACAGTATCTTCCATTCAAAGGTCAGTGACAACATACTGGACATGGATGTGTGTATGTGTGTGTGTACATGTACATTTTACAGAGCATTAGGTGTGCAGCTGAGCATGAGTGTGTTTACCAGCTGAAATCCATTTGACCTATTTGACTTTATTTCTGACTGAACCATTAATAAACATGTGTTCCAACTAAATGGACAATGCAAGTGGAAACCTTTCAGTGGGATTTTGCAGTTTCATGGTAAGTAATGATGTCAAAAGTATATAACAAAAATATAACTCAAGGTCCACTGGCTCACTTTTTTAGGAGCTTTCAACCACATCTCATGGTCATCATATGATAACTTCATCATATGTGCTGTAGGGTGTGAATGGGCTCCTTGGTCTGGAGCCAGTGATGATGTTTTGGTCCAAATAAACTGTAGGAGAACAGGTTTCAACATCTCATTTACATCCCCAGATTTACAGTGTGAAAATAAGAATGTGTTTGTGATACGAAATGGCTGAATGCTGATTGGATTTTATCCCTCAGTGAACAGGAGACAGAAACAGAGCGAGAGCATCAAGTGTGTGAAGATTACTTCCACCACTTACCCTTTCAAGGCCCACTAATGGAAGAGCCGATGTAGGGAGAGTGTGTGTGTGTGTGTCTGAGTGTGTGTTGGGAGTGAGTTTATTCACTGGTCAGGATGGAGCCTCTCTCTTTCCAGCTTTTGAGAATATGACACTGACCTTGTCATTTACACCATTGCAGTTTCCCCCTGAGAGCTGTGAGTAACAATAGGAACAAAACTGGAAAATAATTATATCCAGGGCACCTTATTGTGAAACCTGTGCTGTGGCCCTATTGTCATTGTCCCAGCTGATCTGATAGAGGCTGAAAGTTCTATCTGATACCACAATCTATGTGTTTTGTGTTGCAATTTAACTCAGTCATACTGTATGCTAATCAGTTAGCATGCACCCTGGACAATCTGCCATACTCAAAGATGTTGAGAACTGTGTATTAGCAAGAATCTTACGATATGTATCATGATACAGGGGTTACGATTCAATATATTGCAATATATTGTAGGGTATAAGATAATATACTTGAGTATTGTGATATGTTGTTTTGTGATATCAATTCTCATAAACAGTGTATTGATTTTTGTGTTTAAACTCCCCACGGTGTTGTAAAGTGAGGGTTGGATGAGATAGAGACACTGTTATGAATTGGCGCTATACAAATAAAACTGAACTGAACTGGACTAAACTTTTCTGGGTGCAACATTCTTTTTACCTTTTATGTCTGTATATGGTGGTGTGTTCTACAGTTTTCCTTAAATTTGATTTCTTTAAAATCACTATATATCACCTTGCTTACTGTATCGCAATATATCACAATATATTGAATCCTTGTATCATATCGGCAGATTCTTGCCAATACAAAGCCCTATGCACGATACTGTAAGCAAGGCAGTATTTCACCATTGTTGTGGTTGCCATCATCATCTACGTCATCATTATTAGTCTTTTCTACTAGTATAGTTGTTGCTGTTGTTGTTGATGTGTATCTTTGTCTCTGTCTCTTTTTTTCTTCTTTACTACTCACTGCCACATCCCCCCTTTACCTCCACTTTCCTCTCTTCCTCTAAACTCAACTGGTCAAGGTAAACAGCCACCCATCTAGAGTCGGGGTCTATGGTTTTTCCTTGCTGCTGTCACCAAGTGCTCACTCATGGGTTCAGCTTCCTGACAGCCTGGAGGATGTGGCTGGGGGGA